CACGCCTGTGACTTAGCACTTTGGAAGCTGAAGCAGAAGGATTGCTTGAGCCAGGGTCTGAGAACAGCCTGGGCAACATAGCAAGACCCTATGCCTGCAAAACTAAAAAAATTAGCCAGGTGTGGTGCCATGTTCTATAGTCCTAGCCTACTTGGGAGGCTGAGGCAGGAGGATTGTTTTGAGCCCAGGAGTTTGAAGCTGCTGTGAGCTATGATGGCAGCACTTGCACTCCAGCTGGGCAACAGAGCAAGACTCCGTCTTTAAAAAAAAAAAAATCCCACACTCAAAACATTTAAGGACCATTGATTTGATTAGCATTTCAAGGACTCCCAGTCATTCTTTCAGATCTGCCACTTATCAGTCTTAATTATCCAGTAGCTTGGAGGTTTTTTGGCTTCTTGCTATCTCCAACAAAACAACCTCTAGCTTAAGGAAATGCTCAATAAATGTTAGCTATTGAGATTATTAGGGAAGATCTCAAGGTGAGTGCTAGATCCTTCAGGGTCTGCGTCCTGAGTATCCTAGTGAATTCCAGTTCAGCTGGCTATAGAAGCTATATTATAAAGGCAGTTGGGTGGTGGGTGGGGGGTGGGGAAGCTGCTGCTTTTTGGACAGTGTTAGGAAGGCAGGTGTTAACTCTGAAGTGTCCCAGGTGGAAGTTAAGTCTTGTGAACTAAGCAGCACAGCAGCTTGGCAGCCCTGGAGACACCCAACAGAATCATCTGGGTGGCCCTGGCTGCCTCAGGGTTGGCAATGGTTACTTTTTTCCAGGTAAGATGGAAAATATGTGCTGTTCCAGAACCCTGACACCTGAGGTGATCTTGTTCTCTCCCGAAACATCACTGCATGCATGGTTTCATCCCCAGCGAGTCATGAATTGCCTGTTGTTTAGTAAATGCGATCGGGTTGAAAGGGGAGAACCACAGTGAAGGATGCAGATGTGGACGCTTGGAGAAAGTAGAATAGTGCACAGAGCAAACTGTGAGCTTCTGCACATTCTCGAGCTCAAATCCTGACTCTGCAGCTTGCTTGTGTGGCTTTGAGCAGTTACTTAACCTCTCTGAGCCAGCTTCCCCATCTATGCACCAGGAAACTATCTATCCAAGAGTTGCGGTGATGGTTTGATGAGAGAGTTTGTACAGTGTCTACCACTTACTAAGTGCTCAAGAAATGTTATGTGGTGCTGTTACTATTATTTTAAAAGTCATGAAAATGCTGGATTCAAGAATGGTAGAGTGATGGGTGGCATCAGATGTTCTAAAAACCAAGGTTGATTCAGAACATTTCCTGATCTATTTCTGTTTTGACATCCGAAGGGAGAACAAAGTGTTTTTTCCAGAGAGCCCATAACTTTAGGGACAACTTGACAAAGTAGAAAATACCCAGATTCTGGTCTTGACTTTAGCACTTAAGGGCTGTGTTTCCTTTGGTAAGTGACATGACCTCTCTGAATCTATTTCCTCATTTGTCGAGTTAAATATAGTAACATCTATCCATCTCATAGGATTGTGATAAAGGTGAAATGAGATTACATAAGTAAAAGATCTCTATAAGTTATAAAGTGCTGTCATCACTATTGAGCCACGTGCAAATACATTCTCTGATGGAAGACTGAGAATGCAGAGAAATACATTCTCTGCATTGCAGAGAAATACAACTACAGTACTCTATCTGGTCTGAAGAAAAATTCTAATCAACATGGTCAGTCATGCTGATTCTATCCTTAATTATAGTGATAGAAACAGCAGCATCCTACGTTATCCAATGTTGCGTAACAAGCCACCCCAAAACTTACAACGATTCATTATGTCTCCCAAGTCTGTGTTGACTGGTGGTTCCTCTGCTGGTGTCCTGTGGGGCTCACATCTGCGGTCACAGTCAGAATGCAGCTGGAACGAACGATTCAAGGTGGCCTCACTTGCGAGTCCGATGGTTGGGCCTCCCTCTCCATGTGGTCATTCATGCTCAAGGAGGTCTGGGCTTCTTTCCACGATGATCTCACAGTAGCAGGAGGGCAGGAAGGCAGGCTGCAAGGCCTTTTAAGGACAAGGCTCAGGAGTCACTTAACGTCTGCATTCTTCTGGTCAAAGCAAGGCACAAAACCACCTAGATTCAAAAGGCAGGACAATAATACTCTTCGCCTCTTGATGGGAGAGGCTGCACAGCCACATTGCCAAGAGGCGTCTGGGATGGGAGAAATTGTGGCCACTTTGGCAAATGACCTACCACACGTACTTTGCATATGAGCTGTCATTCTTTGTTTTTAAAATAATCTATTTTTGAATAATTTCAAACTTACATTGAAGTTGCCAGAATAGTAGAGAGAACTCCCATATTTTGTTTCTTCTGTTCCTTTGCCCACTCTCTATAAGCACTAATTATCCTGAGTTGTTTTCTGA